TTTTTTTCTGAAGTCTATTTTAAAAGACATTCATTATTCTTTATTTCATTTATAAATTGGAACCTCTGCTCTGCTTATCCTTAATGGAATGGTTCTTAAAATAGCTTTGTATAACATATGCCACACCTTTCAATAACATTTATTTGAGTTATGAACAGCTATGCAATTTAAATGTTCTACTGGGTTATTTTATTCTACTGCATTTAACAACATTCTTCTCTAAGGTGCTAACAATTGAGTAAACTCTTTGATTAAATAAGCATTTCACAAAATCCTTAATTCAGAAACAAATTTTTATCTCTCCTCCTGAAGTTTAAGAAAATCTTTTTTTTTCATTTGACAACTTCTTTTATTTTCAGACAGTTGATTACATTTAGCCAGAAGTTATTGATTATAAATCAAACATAAAAAGGAATTATATGAAATAAGATTATCCAGAAACAACATATTTTTAAAATATGTTCAGATTTTAGATCATAACAGTTTTCCAAAATTCATCCATATAAAGATAAAAGATACAAAAAATGTTTTATGTAATTAATCACTTCAATAATGGATAGTATCATAGAGTTAGATGTACACTTGAAAATAATGTCTGTTTTCATGTTAAGCTTAAAGAACATTATTTTTCATCCCCAAAACTTTTCCAAGACCAATTAGAATAGCAGCAGATTTATCCACAGAAACCCTTCAGGCTAGGAGAGCCTGGAGCCCTATCTTCAAAGTTTTAAAAGATAAACAATTTCAACCAAGAATAACCTACCCAGTCAAACTAAGCTTCATTAGTGAGGAAGAATTGAAATCTTTTCCAGATATCCAATCCCTAAGAACCTACGCTGCCACCAGACCACCTCTACAAGAAACACTTAAGAAGTACTGAACACAGAAGAAAAAGAAAAAAGAACAACAACATTCTTAACAAGAATACAAGCAAAAGATTAAAAAACACACATGAGCCAACTCCAGAACCCAAAGAAAGAAAACAAACAAACAGGAACAACTCTGTAAGAACCTTATGACAGGGATCAACTCTTGCATTTCAATTATTAGACTAAATGTGAATGGACTAAATGCACCACTGAAAAGACATAGAATGGCAAAATGGATAAAATATCATCAGGCAACAATCTATTGCCTTCAAGAGACTCACCTCACCAGAAAGGACACCCACAGACTCAAAGTAAGAGGATAGGAAACAAACTTTCAGGCGAATGGAATACAAAAGAAAGGAGGAGTAGTAATCTTTAATTATTGACCTCAACTTGACTGTAGACCAGGGTTTAAATTCAACATGTATAGATCCAACATTTGACCCAGCAATCTTAGTGGAATATATGCATTGAGACTGTTCTTTTTCCTTTGGGGAGAGGAAGCTAAGAAAAAGATAGCTCACTTACAGAGATCAAAAGATGGGTCAGAGGAAAAAAGGAGAGATTAAAGTGAGAGGTAGAAGTAAGACAATAGCGGCATGGTTTAAGAAATATAGTCTTAATGTGGTTTAAATGAGGGTGTGTGTGTGTGTGTGTGTGTGTGTGTGTGTGTGTGTGTGTGTGTGTGTTTAGCTTTTGTTAGGAAGTCTGTACAACAGTATATCACTGGAGAGTATTGAACAAAAAAATGTTTAATTTTGAGTCCTAAAGATTCAAGTAAAGTTGACTGTTGATTATTCTTATTTGGCATTTCTTTCTATAAGAGTTCTTTTTAATGTTTTCATAACATGCAAGTCTGTCAAACTAGTTATTTGATGTTTTGGTATGTAGGTGAAATTTTGCCATTTTTATCAAGGTAACTGATGAAGTTAAACTGTTATTAAAAGCTTATGTAGAACAAGGGATTTTTTTTTTCAGGAGGAAATTGTAGTATCCTTTTAGATAAAGCTATAATATAAAGGAGGGAAGCCCATCCAGTTGTAACTTGAAAGCTTGTAAAAGTATTCTCTATTTCCTAACTAAGCAGAGACAAGAAGAGACTGTCACTGAAATTAGATAATTCAAATGAAAATATCAACTATTATTTATCTAAGAATGCAGATTAAGGGTAATAATCCTATTTTGTATTTTTTTTCCATAAAATGATCTGAGGGTTTTGTTGGGGACCCAAGGCAAAGTTTTACCAATTTCCTTTATATGAATCGTCATCAGATGAACAGAATTCAAATATTATTTTGGGTCAGCATGAATTGGAGACTCATTAGATCTATGACTTCAAACATTCTTATGTAGTAAATCATTACAAATTCAACAGAAAAAAATTAAATGATGAGCCAATAATATGAGAGAAGATTTTATACAGCTAGACAAACAAAAAACAAACAACAACTATCCTGGCCACAAATAACCTAAAACTATGTGGTAACTAAATATAATGTAATGCCTTAGATGGAATTCTGTAATGAAAAATTGATGTTAGGTAAAAACAAAGAAATTTTGAGTAAATTATAAACTTAATTACTAACCATGAGTTGTTCCCCACATCTTTAAGATAGAAAAGAAACTTAATTAGTAATAATTTATCAATATGGTTTCTTTAATTATGACAAATGTGATATGTGAATGTTAATAATGATACTAATAATAGAGAAAATTGAGTGTGGTGCCTATGAAAACTCTTTGTATTATTTTTGCAATTTCTCTATGTATCTGGATAATTCTGAAATAAAACTATTTTACAAAAAGATGAATAAAGACATTAATAAAAGAACAAGCATTGGAATTTTATGCAGTCATAAAGAACAAAATCATGAACTTTGCAGCAACAAGCAAAGTTTGGAATTAGAGTCTATAATACTGAGTGATCTTTCACAGAAACAAAGATCTCAGTATCGCATGTTCTCACTCATAAGTGGAACTTGAACAACTCCCTTAGTTTTATAAGAAAAGGATTGATAGTAGCGGGAAACTGAGATGGTTGGGGGGCGGGGAGGTGGGATTGACAGTAGTTGAAATCTGCCTGGGGAAGGGGGGGCACACCTCATCAACAAGGGCACAATGAATATTTGTATACTTAACCCTGAATTGTACCCCACAATTTTAAAATAAGCAAACTTAAAAATTAAAAGAAAAAAGATTAAGTAAATATATGTCACATACAAAGAGTGCTCTTCTGATCCTAAGACTAAATAATTTATACAAAAAACATATTTGATCATAAATTATAGGATAAGAATAAAAATTATAATACCAACAAAATAACTTAGTGCTCAAATTGTTTATGATAAATTCATCTGTAGCAGATCTGAAAGACTACTGGGAGACAAAGGGATTTGTGGACATTTTTTTTTCCCTGAGACTTCCATGAAAAGTTTCAAAGCGAGGGCCATAAATAATTGGTGAACTCTCCAATTTTTGATGCTTTCATATTTGAAACAAAAAGCAAAATTTGTTGTTTATTTCTGCAGGGTGAGCTGGATTTGTAAGACAGTCTCTTTAAGCAACGCAGAAAGTGCTGATCTTATTTAGGTTTTGAAGAAACACGAAGTCCAAGGATTGGCAGACTTTCAAAACTGGAAGTGTTTAGAAGTGGTTGACCTTTAACTACAGAAGTATGTTTAATGGAGTGTTGCTGTTGCTTATTGGCTGACTTCCAGAAGCATGGTTACTGAAGTGAATTGTCATTGATTTATGAAATGAGTATAAAATCAGTTCCGGTAGTTATGCTTTACCTTGACGTTGATAAAAGAAAGTCTTTCCTAGAAGACTGGAAATTTTTATTATTACACCAATAGGATACAGATATTTCATTGTTTAGCATTTTTATTTAATAACAAATCTGCTGGCTTCTATAATGATACCTAAGGCATGTTACATCTTGCATAATTCCTATTTGGGCCTAAGCGCTTTCAGTGTTATAAATTCAGTCAGCGGATGCAAAAAGAAATATATAGTAGGTGACATTGAGAAAGGAGAAAGGAAGAAACCAGATAGGCAGACAGATTATGGCAGTCCCATAAAAACTTCTGCTGCAAACCCCATGGATTGGAGTGAGAAAACCTATTTCCAGGTCCATGGACTGACCCTTTTGCATGCTACTTCTTGATTGTCTCCTTTCAACCACCTCTTGATTGGTGCATTTCAATCCCAGACCAAGGTGCCTCTCTCTGATTAGTCTTACCACCATCCAATCAACCCACTCTTAAGACTATATAAATCTTAAAACCCCTGATTTCAACCTCCAGCCCACAACCCTTTTTCTGGGTCCCTCCTGCCACAGGGAGCTTTTCTGTCTTCTAACAAAATTCTACTTGCTCACTCTCTGGTGTCCCTGTTCCTCATTCTTCCTGAGCATGAGACAAGAACCTGGAACTACTGAACTAAGAAGAGCTGCTTAACTAGAAGAACTGCACACACGCGACTGGAAGGGGTCCACCCACTGAGCTGAGAGAGCTTCAATATTTCTTGGGGGCTGATCCACCAGCCCGCTGAACTGGCAGAGTTATGAACACTCCTCAGGTCCTGGCGCACTGGCCCACTGAACCAGCAAAACTATAAACATTTCTCAGAGTTTGGCTCACCGATCCCCAAACTAAGAGTGCTCTAACACTCTTGGGCGCTCTGCAGCAGTTGGCATTCCCAAGTTCTCAGGCACCTCCAAATTCCCCTGTCCTGATATCCATGCATCCCTGGCCACCGTGTGGATCCCGGGCTGGCAGTGCAGTTTCAGGAACTGCAACATCCCTTGGGGGCTCAGCTTGCCAACTGGTCAGACAAACAATACCACTGGGATTGTCAGAAGGGTGACTTAAAGCAGACCTATTTGTTTCATTTCTGAGGTTTCTTGTCCTCTATCCTCCCTGTCACATGTTCTTTCTTAGGGATGGCCGTGGCTACTCAACCCTCTTCACACTCGATGTCATGGGTGTCTTTGCGGTCTAGGGGAATGGCATTACTGGGCAGTATGGGTAGCTGGCTTGGTTATTTGGAATGTGTCTCAGGACAATGTGTAGGACATCCCCCTACTTTTCCAAGAAGTAGATTTTAAGAATTCTCTCATAAAGAACTCACCAGCAGAGGATAGGAAGCTTTGGTTTTGTTCTTGTTCATGTCAGCATAACCTGGTGAATATGAGAAATTCTTATATGTAGGGAATTAACTTTGGGAAGTACCTCTTTAGGTCAGGTCCCCACTTCCTTGGGCTTCCTGTGTTTGGAGAATCTGGATCTCTGGATCTTTGCCTTAGCATACAAAGCCTTGTCAGTACTTTAAAGGGATCATTTAGGTGGGCAAACATTGAAGGAAAGTGGACTGTTTACTTTAAGGCATCTTGTCAGCTCTGTGCCTGGGAACACAGACACCTCAGTTGTTGGCCCTATTAGAGTCAGCTTATATAAGCCAGCTTATTCAATGTCCTGCTCCATTTGAAAAAGTCTGTTCATGTAGGAAAGCAGTAGGAGAGATCACCCTTTGGCTGCTGATTTCACTTTTTCAGAGGCCATTGGGGATTGTCTCAATGGACCTGCATACCTTCCTCAGGCACTTTTATGTCTTAAACTTGCATGATTCCCTACCAGTGAAGAAGACTTTGACTGGAAAATAATGTCTCCAATTAATATTGACATTGTCTACTGGCCAGAGGTTCACAGAAAGTTCCAGGAACACCCCCACCCATTCAAATTCCTTGCCCAAATACAATTTCTCCAAAGACTTCTTAAAGGTTTAGTCTGGATTAGGGAGAATACTAGGCTTGAGGAACTCAGAAGCACAGTAAACAGCAGAGCCTTGAACACTGTGCAGGTAAGCGTGACTACTCCTGCTAGCCAGGTCCCTTCTGCTACACATGGATGGTCACGCTTGACTCCATGGGGGATACCATGAGTATATAAAGACAGAAAAGTAAGGGGATGCCCTTGGTTCTTTAATTTTTATTCAGGCACATTGATGGAGAAGTAGGGAAAGTTAAGGGATGCCTTCTTTCCCCATTCACTCTTTCTCCAGATGGGTAACAAATCATCTGACCATTAGCAGTGCGTACTACTCTCAAGTGCATCCTGAGATACTGGGACTCTTTTGATCCTCAGACTCTAAAGAAAACCCATGTTGGATTCTTTTGCAGCCAAGCATGATCAAATTGTAAGTTGCAAGACAAAGAGACTTGGCTTCTGGGGAGGGATTGGTGGGGGGCTGATTATTTCAAAGGATAGTCCAAGTGAACCAGGGATGCCAATTCCAAACGGTGACATTGGGGAAAGCATCAGCCCCTGAAGTCAATACTGACTCATCCTGTCCTCCTTATCTAGGTCCTTCCTACACTTCAAACCTGCCCCACTCTGAAAACCCTCACTCTAGACAAACTCCTTTACTCATGCTCCTACAAGAGATGCTTAGTGAATATTGCTCCAGTAAGGTACAGGTATCCTTTTCCATAAAGGACTTGAAAAAAATTAAGGGAGATCTTGCTAGGTTCTCAGATGACCCTGACAAGTATATGGATGCTTTCCAGAATTTAATCCAAGTATTCAAGCTCTCCTGGAGGGATGTTATGTTACTTTTAAGACAAATCCTGACAACCACTGAGAACGAGCATCCCTGCAAGTGGCAGAGAAATTTGAGGATGAGCTTTGCATTACGGATAGTGCCAAAGAGGAAGGAGAGCCTTATCTATGTCAAAAATCAGCAGTACCATTGGAAAACCCCAAATGGGATCCCAATAGTGATGTGGGAAAGTGGAGAAGGAAATATTTCCTGATATGCATATTGGAAGGCTTAAGAAGTACTAGAACTAAACCTCTCAACTACTCTAAGCTATCCATGATAGAACAAGGTACAGATGGGAATCCCTTTGCCTTTCTGTAAAGGCTAACAGTGACTTCAGTTAAACACGCTTCCCTAGGTCCTGAATCAGACAAAGGGAACTGTTCTTAAAAGATACGTTTTTTACTCAAGTTGCTCCAGATATCAGGAGCAAGCTGCAGAAGGAGACGATAGGACCAGACAGTACCTTGGCGAACCTCCTGAAATTGATCACCTTGGTCTTTTACAATAGGAATAGGAAAAAGACTCAGAAAAAAAGGAGACACAAGAGGCATAGGGTCTAATGCCTTACAGGCTTGTAACCCCAGAATCTCTGGGGTGCATCTAGTAACTGTTATGAATGTGGCAAGCCAAGATGTTAAAGAAACAACAGGGTGCCAACATGGAGAGCCGTGCAACCAGAAGGCCAAAAGAGACATTTAAAAATTTTTATTTTACTTTATTTTTATTATAAAGATGTGGTGTACAATTCAGGGTTAGGTATACAAACGTTGATTATGCAGGTATCCTTGTTGATGAGGTATGCCCCTCACTCCCCTAGCAGTTTCTCTCAACTGACAATCCCACCCCCATTCCCTGACAGTTTCCCACTACTGCCAATCTTCTTCTTATAGTATTATATTTGTTCAAGGTCTGTTATGAGTGAGAACATATGGTAATCTGTTCTTTGTTTCTGTGATAGATCACTGAGTATGATCGACTCTAAATCTATCCAAGTTGCTGTGAAGTCCATATGTTTGTCCTTCTTTGTGGCTACATAATATCAAAAGAGACATTTCAATTGACAGTTCCCAATAGCAACAAAACTTCAATGACCCTCAGAGACATGGTAAGAATAAGCCTGCTAAGGAGATGGTGCCTGTTGCCATGGGTATAATATGTAGGGGCACTAGAAGTCTAATTACTCCAAAGAGGCCTAAACCTTCAGGGTCCTGTCCACTGTGTAGGTCATACAGAGCCATTGGAAAGTGAGTACACTGTATTTTGAAGAGAGGAGTGAACGCCTAGCTCAAGAATCATAATCACTGAGGAGACCTGAGAACCTGCTAAAATATATTGCATAGCTTACCATCACCTCTACAACCCCTTGATGAGCATTTGGCCTCTGGAACCCAAAATAATTTTTTAATTAACACAGGTGCCAGTCATTTGGTCCTGGCCATGCATGTTGGAATATACATCTGTGTGTGTATATATATATATAGCCTTAATTAAAGTTGCTAGGGGTAATTCAAAACATAAATGTAGAAAGTCACAAGGAAAGATAAAAAAGGGAGAAGCCAGAAAAGCAAAGGAAAGATGTAAAGAAAGTCATTGGCATAGAAGCATGTTTTTGTTAAGGAAGAATATTAAAGATGAAAAATAATTGTATGATGGAACGGATTTTATATGGTAAATTTTTGAAATAAAGTGACTGGTTTAATAAAGTAAAAAGGAAGTAAAGTATAGGACAAAAAATTAGAGAGTTCGTGCATGTCAAAAAAGGGTGTGTGTATATTGTAGAATGGGAGGAGATTTGGTACTGGTACTTTCCCTGTCTTTAGGCCCAGATTGGGAGGGTCCCTACACTGTTCTTCTCTCCACTCCTTCAGCAATGTAGGTCACTGGAATAGACTCTTGGATTCATCATGTGAGAGTATAAGGCTGGAGTCCAGAAGAAGCTACCTCTGCTGACCTAAAAAAGCACTCAAAATGCCATCATGATGAAATTGAAGACATCAAACTAAAGATTATAAAAAAATAAGTGTCAATAATTAACCTTCCATGGATATTCTTCTTATAGTTTTGCCTATATTTGCTGTCTTTGCTCTTGTTTTGATCTGCACTGTTAAGCGCCTTTGCCAAGGACCCCTTAAACATGAACACCCATGGGATTATCTGCTTCCTTTGACAGTCATCTTTTTCACACCTCCTAAAAGATCTCTCACACGGGAAGAAACAAAACGATTAGTTTATTTTGCTTCTTATTTCTGTCATCACTAGTCCTAACATCTTATAAGCACCCCCTTTCTCCCTCCGCTACATACTTTACTCAACAGGGTAATTATTAAAATTTCAGGATATGCCCACTGGAGGGACCTTCTCTAACACTCTTCCGAGACCCCTACTGTCGTCTTTGAGCAGATTTCATATTGGAAATCTCAGTGGTTCCTGGTATAAATTCACTGCCCTAAGAGGAGCATTGAAACCCAGTCAGAAAGGTTCCCGAGGCAAAAAGCCCTCAATTAAGATTGGAGAAGAAGCAGAGATGTGGGGGAAGTTCCTATCTGCTTTTGATCACACCTGGAACTAACCTGGGTGGAATGTCTCCCCCTTAAATACTGTAGTGAGACTGTATGGGTAGCTATTTATATAACTCTAATCATGCCTGCAGAACCTGTACACATAACGGGATGATCCCATGGGAATACACCAAATGGGAATATCTGGAGTTATCTGAAGAGGATTTTCTGTGTTACTGTTGCCACAACTCTGACAAACCAAAAGAAACTATAGCCACTGGGATATTCTTCCCATTTGGAACCATTAGGACATCTTCCTTAATTGAAACTGGGCACTACACTATATGTGGTAATGGATTATACTTGTTCTTACTCTACCAATGGAAAGGTGCTTGCACAATAGTAGCACCTATACCTAAGACAATGTCCTCAGTAAGGCTCAAATGGCTTCCTCAGGACATATTCTAAATTTAGGATCTTTCTTGAAACAGTCCCTGTGACCACATCATCACAGAAACCTGGAAATGCCTAACTATAAAACTCCTGACAATGATAATCTAAAGTGACATACCCAGACAATTCAATCCTACAAAGACCTGGGATAGGACACTCGATTGCCAGAGGTTTCTTTTGATTTGTTGGACTAATCCTGATAGAAAGATCTGTTTGGAACCTTACTCTCATGGTACAACAAGGATGGAAAGCTATAGTAGCTGCTATGGAGAATCAACAAACATCCATTAACTCATTAGCTACTATGGTCCTGCAAAACCATCAAGCATTGAATATGCTCATGGTAGAATGTGGAATAACATGCACATTCTTAAATTAAACTTGTTGTTTCTGTATTTACACTTTCCCTCAGGTAGAAGAAAACCTGCAAGTCATAAAAAATAATATCAAAATTATTGATACTTTAAGGGAAAAGGCAGGTTCAGGACCTAGTCGACTGCAATTCTTTCCATCCTCTCTAAGGATCTCTAATATATGAATGTGCATTTTCCCCTTGATAGCTTTTTTGTTTCCTGCATTATTCATATTTGGTCCTTGCATAATTAACTTCCTTATAAA